GTCACATTTGAATTGTTAAAGAAATAATAATGTAACGTTCCTTGGTAATCCGGCCCAAAATGAGGAGGACGATCAAATAAACACATTGATTCTAGTTGAAGAAGTTGAGGCTAAAACATTAATCCCAAAATCAACTCATTTAATTTTTTTTACTCAATTATAATTATACATTTTTACTTTTTCCTACTTTGTTAAATTATGATTCAAGTCAATATAAGAAGAATTTTATTGGATGAAGGGAGTATTTAGTACTCCAATGATCCCATATTCAAAATATGTATTAATATGACATTCACCCTTGAATTGTTAAAAGAAAGAATAATGTAATGTGTATTCCTTGGTAATCTCAAAATGAGTAAACGATCAAATAAATAAATTAAAACATTGATCCTAGTTGAAATGGTTGCGCATTAGGCCTATCACGTCTGCGTCAAGTACTTCTCATATTTGTGAGGTCTTTAACTAGCAATCCATCGACAGTCATCTATCGACGGTTAGGCTAGACCGCTAGACTGTTCAATTCAACGTATAGTATATGTACATGGATTTTACCCACCTTAAAAAAAGTGTATGTTGATAATTTTTCTTGTTAAAATTTATTTAGGCATGTCACGTCTGATATGATTGGGTAATATCCCTTTTCTCTAATTTGATCATATCATGCATGTGGAGGCCGTATACCGTGCAACCGGTGCATGGGGAGCACCATGCACCCATGGTTATATGAAATGTAACTCGTGTGATTATTCGAGATGTAAATTCAAGTTAATTCAAATGTAAATTGCGCTCATTCACATGTAACTCGTTGAAATGTAAATTACTTTTATTGAAATGTAACTTGGGGAACAAATTAGTTGTAACTTGAGATATGTAACTTTAGGCTATTCAAATGTAAATAGCTTTTACACAGATGTAACTCCATATAATATATACACACACACTCCATATCTATATATATATAGATACATTTTTTTTTGTAGCAGGAGCACTGCCTCCACCTTCTATCGTGTTCTTCCTGTAAGATCGCCAATTATAATGGATAAATTTATGTTTAGTGCTCTTTCCATACCATAGCTTTCAAATATTGAAGATCTGCAAGTCTGCGATCTACAGAATGGGTGAGAGGCTGGAACTGGGGCAGTGAACTTCATCGTTGGGCGGCCACATGGTGATGGCAGGTGGCTGGGGGAGGGAGAGTGTTGTTGGGAAGGGGGCGGCCGCGATACTGCGTCGTTTTGCAACCGGGCGCATCATCCTCATGGTGCGCCGGTTGCACGATATAATCTTCCTATCATGTGTTATCTCATACTATATGCAAAGTACTCCCTCACTCTTATTGAACTTTAATGACTTTCCTTTATGTTTGTTTAAATTTTTTTATCACTTTTGTTTTAAAGCTATGAATTTACAGTTTTATTCATTTCTTTTTCATTTGCACATACTTTAATCATACAATTTTTGCTATTCAAATTTCACATTCAACATCAATTTGACAAAGTTGAGTGAGACTAATGGAGTTAGTGTTACATACGGAGTACAGGGTATTATTTACTGATCCAAGAAAATCAACACGCTTAGAAGGTGTTTGGTGAGAAGGTTACCAACCATTTTTTGACTGATTTTACTATTTGACCAGATAAACAACTAATAATGATGTTTGGTTAAATGACTTTTTCATGTAGCTATTTATCCCAAACAGTCATGTTTTTTTTTTAAAGAACGAGCCATGTAACCATATTATGTATGAGTTACAATCTCGTAAAATGAAAATAGAAATGAAGGATTGGTATTGGGAAAGCTGATTTTTGGTAAAGTATTCCCATACCCGCACGGGTAGCTTAGTTGGTCAAGTGGTGGGAGATTTGGATTAATGGACAAAGGTTCGAATCTCCACAACGATCGGTTAGAGGTCACAGAACCTGAAATAAAACTGAGTCTCTTGTGCGCACAGGTGTATAAGCCTACTCCACTTTGGTGACTGAGTCACCGTGACTAATCTCCCCACTATCCTGTGGAGTCGGGGTGGGGCTCATTGGGTGGGAGATTCCACCTTTTTTATCCATGTAAAGTATCCCCATGTGCACAAACAAATATGGCACACCGATCCCATGTGCCTGAGTGCCTGACTGCCTGTCGTTAAATTAGATCGTCCCCCACTTTTTGAACTTTCCACAAACCGCAACCTTTTTGGCATAATTTGATTTTTTTGTGGGTATAATTTGATTATTTTAACAAAAAACGATATGATGACTAAGGCTGGCAATATCACCCGCACCCGCGGATATCCGGTCAACCCGAACCGAAAACATGGATGAAAACCCGAAAAAATATGGATGAAAAATGGATGACGGGTGGATTGAAAGACGGGTTGGATCGGGTGTGGATGAACACTCATCCAATCCATCACCCGACCCATCACCCGCTCCATCCACCCACCCGCTAACCCGCATATAAAAATAAATATATATTACGTTATATATATACTCGTATCTATTTAATAATATATAATTATAATTAATATTAATGTATTACGGAGTAAAAGATATGTATTTGTTAATGAAGAAGACATATCTATGAATTGGTGAAATAAAGACAATTTTAGAGTTTCAAGAAGTGGCAATTGAACTGCAAAACTAGTTTTGTGCCGATGCAAAAATGTAAAATTTGACTCCTTGAAAAAGTTTTATGCCTATTTTGTTTGACAACTAGTTCTTTCTTTATTGCAATGAATTAATGATTGTAATATACTTAACTGCTCAAGTTTTTGTTGTTATTATTCAATGAATTTTTAATTTTTGGTTTTTAATTGTCATTATTTCTATTCATAATTTATTTATTTTGTGTTTCAAGTTAGGCCATTTATATTCACCCGTTACTCACCCGATCCACCCGATAACCCGCTCATGATGGATGGATTGGGTGTGGATGTTATTTTTAATGGATGATGGACGGGTGGGTGGAATATGAAAAATTAACGGGGTGGACGTGGATGAGCCTTCACCCGGTATAAATCCGACCCGCTGCCACCCCTAAATGATGAGCACTTTCGGAATACTTCGACTTGACTTATGGCTTGCACCCACAAATATCATTCACCTAAAGTGAGGGATTTCACATGTATACACAGTGAGCCAACATAGGAGCAAAAAATTAAAAAATGTCTCTAAAGTACGTAGTAAGTTTTATGGTGATGAATTCGTAACATTATTTTTCATAGGGAGTATATATAAAACGGGCAAATTCCACCGCAACCGGCTATACCGTGTGCACGGTACATCCAGTTTTTTTGTAATCCTATCCTATATCCTATATCCTATATACCTAAAGGGAGAATCCTCTCCCGCCTCTCTATCATTTTAATGACTTTTCTGTTGCTTTTACGGATGATATTCTTATCTTCATCAATGGATCTTCTTCTTCTTCTCTTACTAGATTCATGAGTTTTATTAGAGATTATCAAACAACTTCAGGCCAACAAGTTAATTTGGGTAAGAGCATTTTTGTTTGTAGTAACAATATCCCTAAAGCTAGACGACAGGTTATAAAACTATCTTAGTAACGAAATCCTCTAAGCTTCCCTTTAAATATTTGGGCATACGTATGTATCAGGAAATAAACAGAGCTAAATATTGCACTAAATTAATCCATCAGTTTGAACTGAAATTAGCCCCATGGAAAGTTAAAGTGTTATCTCCAGGAAGTAGACTTATATTAATCAAACATGTATTTTCTACAATTCTGCTTCACTTATTACCTGCAGATAAACTTCCTAAGAAGTCCTAAGAATATAATCCACATTTGAATAAGCTTGTGTCTGCTTTCCTCGGGAATTTACCACGAACACGCTAAATATCATTGGCTTAAATGAGAGAATCTCTATTACCATTACACTGAAGGTGGCTTGGGAGTTTGCTCTTTATCTCACAATGCAAGAAGCTTATTCTTACAAATTGTAATGGAAGTGGAGATCTCACTCTTCTCTTTGGGCTGAATATGTCCATGCCAAATATCACAGAAATGACACAATTCCCAAACTACCCGACTCCCCGATTTGGAAACACTAATATGCGATTCACTCACAATGCTTGAAGTTAGCTGATATTGTGGATCATGTTCCTAATTGGAAGCTCTATTCTGAAGGTATGTTCATTTTGAAAAACACATATGAGGAGATTAGACCTTCCAACTATTATGCTCTATCCCATTCCTTTAATTGGATCTCTAAGCAATCTCTTTCTATCAAACATTTTATATGAAAAGTGCTGCATCAAATTCTTCCTTTTCCTGAAAACTTATGCAAATTTACCGTTGTTTTCCCCTCCATTTTCCCTTTCTGTAGGGCTGAATATGTTGAGATGAGGCATTGCTTTTACTTATGCCCTTTTGCAACGAAAATCTAATCACATTTTATGAGTGCTTTCGGGACTATATATGAAACATTCTTACCGTTGTTCCATTAAGAAAATTCTATTCCTTTGGTGGTTAGAAGGCACCAACAAAAGTGTAAAAAGACTTTTTAAATTCATCTTACCTGAAGTAATTACTTGATTTATACGGAAGACATATGTAAGCTACATCTGGGGATATTCCAATTCCGTTGGGTGATCATATCATTCGTGTGCTCAACATAATGCCATGTTGAATAATCATTCCTAAATGGCTAAATGGATATACCCTCCCCGAATCATGGTTTGGTTCAAGCCAACTTTTGGCTATAAAATTAATTTACATACATCTATAACCAGAGGCGTAGTTAGGGAAGGGCCAACCCTAGCTGAGGTAAAAAATGTCCATATTTTTAAGGTAAAAAATTCTATGAAAATTTTCTCCAAAAATACTCTGTACCGGTCCAGTGCCGTGTCTTCACCTCTATCTATAACACTAGTGGAGCCATTATAAGAGATTTAGAGGAAAAATCAGGGACCGTTTATTAATAGAGATATTTTTCGGTGTTTCATAAAACTGGAAAATGAACAATATGGGCCATATTTTGAGTTGGTGTGGCAATGGATCCATGTGCTTCAAGATGACCAAATAGCATCATTTGGGCCGCCGTTCAGAACGGCTTAATTTTTCCAGCAAACTCCTCTGCTCCTAGCCTCCTACCCGTCGCTTGCTTCCAATTCCCAGTCTTCGTTTAGTTTAACCACTACTGCTGGCGAAGCTGAGCATACGACCATCAGTAATCATCTTCGAGTGGACCTAGCCTTTCTATGCCATAAGGCTCGTTGCTAATGGCGGGAGATGTTGCCACTTTATCGTCCTCCCCCGGAATGACGGAGAGGAGAGGAATTCCGGCGGCGGTCTTCGTGGAAGATGTTCAGATGTATCTGAACGATTCCGGTCTTGATGTTAACTCAGCTCTCGCCTTCCTTCAAGAAAGGTTTTTCCTTTTCACATTCTTTAGGCGTGCTTAGGTATCGGTATCTATTGTTTGGTATATGATAGTTTAGAACTTCTAATCAAATCCAAGGATTATAGTCCGTTCTTACCTGTAATTAAATTCATGGAATTAATATTATTATTTGGTTTTCTTTGTTCCCTATTACTTTGAACTCCTACGGATTCTGCTAGTTCGACATCCCGACATCTGCATTCTTAAGCTTAGTATGAACCAACAAATGCTCAAGGTTGCTTCCTACATGCTGTCTTTCTGATAGATGATTGTTGTAACACCGTGAAAGATGTGCCTTTTAATGGCATTTTCAACAAAATTAGCTTCTTTGAGTGCATTTGAATGTGGATGTATCAAAATATGATGCTGGGTAGTTTTTTTTGTATGGGGTAGTTTTTTTTATTTATATGGGAATGTATGTTTCATTCTTTGTATGGGATTGGGCAACCGCGGACGCAGGAGTTCCTGGTAGGAGAGACGGCAGTATAAAAAAAACACATACAAGTACATATACATTAAAAATTTCGGGGTAAATATAGCTAGAGGGAAAAATTGGAGGGGCGGCGGCCCCCATTTGCCCCCCCCCCCCCTTTGGGTCCGCCGCTGGGGTTGGGGATACTAGGCTGAAGTATCTGCATGTTTGATACTATAAATAAAAGTGTTTTTGCTTCCAATATGTATTTTATTATGGTTAGTAGTTATTATTGAATTTGGAGTAATTTTGTTACCAGCGTGTGTTTAGAAGAAAAAGAAAAGATGAAATCTGTGAGCATATACAACTACTTGCAGATATAAGGATATTGAACATATAGCACCCTTTGCAAAGAAGGAATTTTAGTGCTTGGTCTTGCCAAAGGCACACTAGAAATAATTCCAGAATGATCTATATTACTAAGGAATAGGAACCCCTTTATTTATAATACTCCCTAGAGTCCTGGTGGCGAAGTATTAGGGTTCTAATTAAAAAACTAAGAAAACTAAAAAACGAATTCTAAAACCAATAGGATACAAGTACCATCTAATTATCTTTTCGTAGAGGTTGTCTGACTTGTATCCATAGAGGTACTATTCTATTTTCTGACCTTGAGACACCAATATTCCCTACAAACTTATTGGAGCAAGCTGTTCTTAAGTAGTTTAATAAAAGTAATGTAGTTTGCTCATAATTCTTATTTCATGCTTTTTCTTTAATTCTTTCCTTTCTACTAATTTTTTGTGTAATCTTATACTTGAGTTTCTACATTCTGTCTGAAAGTGGAAAATTTGATATACAGTTAATACCTTTCACCTTTTTGTGCAATAACATTGTAATTTTGTTTGCAGACTTCAGCAATACAGGGTGGTTGAAATGAAGCTTTTGGCTCAGCAGAGAGATCTTCAGGTGCACCTTTAGTTATTATTTATTTTTGAATGAGTGGCAAATCCAGGAAAATGTAGTTTTCCAATCCTAGTGAAGTATCTATTGCATCCATCTCTGGCGCTCTTCTACTACTAGTTAAGCTTTACACCTCATAGTATAGTACATCATAAGTTTATATTTTCTGCAACTTTAGTGATAAGATTGGATGAGATAGTTTACATAAATGGAGTAAATATTTGAGCATTTGTTGCAACCATATTAATATATGGTTAGGCAAGGCAATAATTTTGAAACATGGCAGCTCAAAAAAGATCTTTCAAGTTCATGTTTACACTCATTGCATATTTCAAATGCGAAAATTTATAATCTGGAAACATTTACCGCTTTGATTTATATAGTGGTCGATGGTAGTAATAAGATCCAGGTTCAGGACTAGTGTTGAGGTATAGCTAGAGCTACTATACAAAATATGTGCTTGAGTGCTTCTCCATTCCCTTTCACTTTATGGTCCAATGTATGGGCAAATATTCTGTGCTTTTGCATATCTTAGGACATTCTAGTTCAATTTTTGAGAAAAGACATGATGGACTGATGCTTGTATACTGTCCACCAGGCAAAGATTCCTGACATTGAGAAATGCTTGGATATTGTTGGCACTTTGCAAGCTAAGAAGGCCACTGGTGAGGTTCGTTCTAATATTTGAATTTATTTAGATATTTATTCACTTTTTTAATGCCTTCAGATTTTGTTAGACTACTTCATTACACATCATGATTATGTATTTGACCTCTGTATTTGACTAGCGAGCTTGATCATTTTCTGATTTACTTATATATCAGTAATTCAGTTTGTCATCCTACAAAGCTCGGAAATGTGAAACATGAAATGTGAAATGGTGAACTCAGAAACAGAATTTAGAAAATGTGGGATACGAAACATGATAAAGATGCATATTTATAAAAAATGAGGATATGTTTATATTTTTTTCTCACATAGTCACACACACACATGCACCTTTTCGTTTTTATAAGTTTACTTAATAACCAATATAAAATAGTCTACATGCTCATATATAGATTTTTTACATTTTTATGAATAATGAAATGCAGAAATACATTTCCAGTAACACATTGCATAGTGAATTATCACAACCATGTTACTTTAAAAAAATTCATAAAAGCTTCATTACAAAATTTTACCCAACACAAACTAATTAAAAAACCATCGTATTTTCTGAAACACTAATTATTTCGGGAATCAAGTTTTCCAATTCTAGAAGTTTCTTGGCTTCTGACATGCTTTTGACTTTTCGAAACGGTGAAAAAGTGAGCGGTGTGAAGTTTCGGTGCTTCTTAGGTGTCGCGTATTCATGTTTTATATCTTAAGAATTTGCCTTGCTACATTTGACTCTCATAATGGCTGCTCTATCTACTAAGGTATTTAGTAAAGTGAACCTTAACCAACACATCAGTTTAAGCTTATTAGTATAGACCGACGACGTTTTGTAATTATGGACTAATAATCCATAATGCACTCTAGTTTCTCAATTATTGTTTTAGATGAACTTAAAGCTGTAGCATATTCCATATTAGTAATACTTATCTAACTAGTGAAGGTTGTATTATTCTATATTTTGTTACATTCCTGGATAGAGAAGCAAGATAAGAGAATGATTAAGTGTTATTTAGTACTTTAAAGTCTTCTTATTAACTCAGATGGTTGGGAAAGAATTTTAACTTTTAAGTTAGAATTACTTGGAAGTTGGAAACCACTCATTAGTTTGGTAATTTCCCCTTGGTCGATATTGTGAAGGACTATTCGTCATGAAGAAAACTGAGTGATGTAGACTCAATATTTCCCCTTGGTCGATATTGAGCAGCTGGAGAGAGGAGAGTGAGTAGACTGAAGAGAGATGATGGCTGTAGTGTTTGGTGCTGGTTTTACGTAGGTTTCACTTGCTTTACCCTATTATTTAGATGGGCTGAGTATTATTAAAGACACGGGCTAATTATTTTTAAAAGGTTTACACCAAAAAAGGCTGTCAGCCTTATCCGCATCAGGCGACCTAGGCCCTGTGTTCGCTTCTGCACGTCATGCGCTTCTGCATTTAAGCTGTTCATGGACTGTGTGCACTTCATACTCTCAAGCGCTGGATGCCCTGTGTGCTGCGCCTGGTGCCCTTGAGTGACCAGCACACACTTTTGACTACCTTGTGCATAACGTAATCTGCTTAATCTAATTAACTTTTTCCTTAACAACAACAACAACAATAATCATGAACATAACCTTAAGTGCATTGGCGTTGGTGCATGCAATTTATGTTTTCAATTGTCATTATAAATTTAAACAGCAGAGCGTAGTGACAATATAAAAGTGCATGCCCTTCTTGTCTCAATCTTGTAATATAAAACCACATGCCCTTCTGGTGTATGTGTCTATATATATATATATATATATATATATATATATATATATATATATATATATATTCCATCTAAAACAATAAAATATAAATACGGAGACTAGATTCCTCCTAGTCTCTAAGCTTGTCCCTCCCCATTTGGTACCTTCTAGAGCATCAACTTTTCTCACAGAATAGGCAAAACATTTAATTATCTGCAGTGTTTGAAGATGATCGTCTTGTTAGATGAGTATGTTAAGACTTGATAGTTAATATGCACCCGATTAAAAAACGTTACCTGTTGGTTATAATCTTTTGCTCAATGTATCTGGGTGCAGGCTCTAATTGCTGATTTTGAAGTGTCCGAAGGAATTTATTCCCGGGCTCGTATAGAAGATACAAATTCTGTATGCCTGTGGCTAGGAGCAAATGTCATGCTGGAGTATTCATTTGATGAGGTACTTATACGCGCTTAATTATATCCATCTGTCTGCCTCACACAATCACATTTTCTGTATTTTTGTAATTTCTTCTTCATTTCAAGATGTTGTTATGCGTACGCGTACAATATTTGAAGGTCACTTTGGCAAAAGAAAAAAGTAATGTGGCCTAAATCCATAAATTTAAAACAACTTCAAGGTCACATCTGCTAAAAGAAAATTCCGAACAACAATACCTCAACTTATATCGTAAATATACCGAACACACTTTTGTACAATTCAATATTATCATAATATTATGAAGACCTATTGACAACAATGCCAAACTTGCTCTTAATTGGCTGTTAAACATTATGGTGCAGGCCACTTCCCTTCTTCAGAAGAACTTGGAGAATGCAAAAGCTAGCTTGGAGGTTCTTGTAGCTGATCTCCAGTTTTTGAGGGACCAAGTGACAATTTCTCAGGTAACTCTTTCAATTATGTGTTTAAATTAGTATGTTTCCATTTTCTTGTTTACCTTTGTGAGAACCTCAAAAGCAGACACTTAAGGTGTGTTTGGTTTGAGATTTTAGAGGGATGGAAGGGGAGGAGTGAGATTTATTTTTTAAATAAATTCTACATTAGATGGTTGGAAATAAAGTGATTAAGTGATGATAAAAGCTATTAGAATCATATAATTATTTCTAATCCAAATCTGACAATAAATACATAAGTTTAGAAAGAGTAAGTGCACATGGGCGCCCATTCAAGGCGAGGATCCGGTAAAGGGTCCCAATAGGGGGTATGTGTAAGCCTTCCTTCATGATTTGACAAGAAGCTGCTGCGAAGAATTAAACATGTGACCTACCCCTAACACAACTTTTTAACTTGTGTGCCAAGTCTCCCCTTCTAATAGAGATAATAATTTAGCAAGATAAAAAAAATCAATCTTCCTCGCCCTGTCCCTTCGAAATCCCGAACCAAACAAGCCTTTATGGTTTATCTTTGTGGCATTTTTGTTAAGGCACTTATAATGTTGGTTCGCTCAGGTCATGACTGCTCGCATATACAACTGGGATGTGCATCAACGTAGGCTTAGACAAGCTTCTATGCCCAAAGAGTCATGAGGATTGAAGGAGATCTGTTTAGCTTCACTTACGAGGAAAGCAAATATTTTTCCTTACTCAGCGTTCCCAGATTTCTTCAATTTCCATTTTGCCATCTGTATCTCTCTTTTTTGGAATATGTATCCCTTTCAGAAAAGAGATGCTAGTCATTTTTTTTTACTTAATGTGATTGACAAGTTATTTGTTTGTGTGCTTTAAGGTTAATTAACATAGCATCTAAAGTATTTATTATCCTGTAATTGAAGTTCGTTTACTAATGAGGTCTGAAGATGTTGAAATTGCGAGCTAAATTAGTAAGGGAAAAAGGGCAAAAATGAACCCAATGTTTTGTTCTAGGGGAGATATGACCCTGAACTTTTTTTTGGGTGAAATAGGTTTAAGAATTAAGTTTTTTGAGAATACAGGCACCTCTTCTACTAACGATTAGGCACTGACTAACGTAAGACATTTTTTTTAAACTAACGTAAGAACTTGGAATATCTCTCCTTAGAACAAAACATTAGGGTCATTTTTGCCCCTATTTCTAATTAGTAATGCATCTTGTTTTTTTTTGCAAAAACAAAAAGCATGTAAACCATTTTTATTCAGCTCTAGGCACATCTTCAATTAGCACTAGGCATGGCCGCATGGGGCCATGGACATGATCAAGGTTTAGACAGAAACTGGATCGAGACCAATTGAATTCGGAAGTCGCAATGACCAATACTTAAGGGTGGACTATGCTGGGTCTTGGCTAGGCTCCGGGCCTGGACTGGATGGACTTTGGACCCAAAATTATCAGTCCCGGGACCGGCCCGGGTTTGTACCGGTACCGGGTCAGGATGGGCTACCCGTGCGGGCTTCAGGACTGAGTTGGGTCAGGCCAAACATTTCCAAACCCAAAATTTGTTTTTTTTTTGGAATTCTTGACCTTTAGGGGTTGACTGCCTGACCTAGGTCCACTAAAATCAAAGCCTGGTACCACCTACTTCTTCATCCGGGTAGTGCCTCGGGCTTGGTTCCAGTACCGGTCAACCAGGTCAGGTCGGGTCGGGTCTACACAGTAGCAGGTCGGGCCGGGTCCTGGGTCGGACCGTCCTGTCCCATCCCACCCTACTAATACTAGGCATGGACCCGGTTCGGGCCGCCCGGCCTGGGACCGGCCCGGCCCGCCACTGTGCGGGCCCGGAACCGGCCCGGTTCTCGGGTCCGGGTCCGGGTCCGGGTCCGGGTCGGGCCTAGGCCCAGTGGGGGGTCCGGGTCCGGGCCTTGTATTTGGCGAACCGGCCCGGCCGGGTCGGGCCCGGGCCGAATTGATTTTTTTTTATTTTTTTTTTCATTTGTTGGGGTTAGCCGGGTTGGGCTTGATGGTTAGGAGGGGTTTGGGGGTTTGGGGGGGTGGGGGGTGAGTGGGGGGGTTAGGAAAGCAAAAAAAAAAAAATTATGACCGAACCGGAGGCCCGGCCCGGCCCGGACCCGGTGGCTACCCGGGCCGGTCCCGGGCCTTCCTTCCCAAAAAAAAGCCCGGCCGGGCTCGGCCCGGAACCGGAACCGGCCCGGCCCGGGTCCATGACTAACTAATACTATGACAAAAGTTGTCTCATTGAATTACTCATACATTCATACTGAGTACTATAATAAAAGTTGTCTCATTGGATTAATTATATTGTCTCATTATTATATTAACTATTAAGTTCTCAAAGTCTCGCTTTTAATATGGATTCCAATTTTATTGGATTTTAGTACATGAAGATATGTAAAAACATGTAAAAGATAACAAGTATGTAAGGTCCTAATGCTTATAGAGTTATAGGCGGTTGTATCATATGCATGGCACAACCTGTTAATTTTATGATTCTTTATTTACAACTTTTAACCTAATTGTAATTCTTCTCTTTTGACCCTCTGCTTTGTCATTTCATCTCATCTGATTGATCTTCCATGGCCCCTCTTGCTAATTCTATAACTTTATTTCTTCTTAGATTTTTACATCCATTTTTGTTGATTTCTTCCCAAACTATACTCTTGGGAATTTGAAAAAAAATCAAATGGAATGTTAATTTGATAAAAATATCTATCTTCCTCTTTCAACATTAATAATACAATCTTACTCTTTTAGTGTAGACAATTATCCTGAGTGGTTAGTTATGCAATGACCATCAACAATAATCAAGGCCAATCGCTTGAAAGAGTATGCATCTTCTTACATATATGGTGTGATATTTACCCATGAACAATTATATATGGTGTTATTTAGGGTTATAAATCCATGTGGATGGAAATTCATCATATATGATGATTAAGGTGAGCCTTGTAATTCTACACTTTATATAGTGTTCATTGTACACGAAGTCTTCAAAAATTTGTAACTATCCTTAAGAATTCCACACAAATGAATAAAATATTACTCCGTACTACGTAAGATAAATGCTTTAACCTAACTTCTATGGGTTGTCTTCCGTCATTAGCTATACTTTCTAACAAGATCATATAATATAACTCATATTCAAATTAATTTGTCATATCTGTGTTAATTATATGATATGAATATAAAATTAGACCAATTATAATTCTAAATTAAGAAATCACTTCGTGTACAACGTACAAGTGCAGTTACTACCTATACGATAATTGTGTAACATTTTACTTACCGATTACTCGGTTATGGAATACCATAGTTTCAAGATACGTAGTATAATCTAAATCCTCCTCCCAAAGCTAGAGAAAGTAAGGCTTAATTTTTTACGAACCTTTAAAATTTCGTTTGAGATGATAATTTTAAAACGACTGGTTTGAAGGTGTGATATTTGAATCTATTAATTTATAAATAATAGAACACGTGCATCATATCAATCAACATGGCATGATCTGTCAAGCTTCGTAGAATTCCTCCTGCCTATGATTTTTACCCAGCTTCTATGGTTTTAAATTAGTTACTCCTCATCATTAATTCAAGTTTGAGTTAATTACCCTAGGTATAACTAAAACTCAATGAGTTTCCCAATCTATGACCTAACTAGTTTTTTTCTCAAAATAATATTATAATTCTCTATTTTTAATTAAAATTCGTAATTAATAATTAATAATTAATTTTTAGGGACAAATATACCCTTTTGGTTATACCTATAAAACCCTAACCTCCTACCCATTTTCTACAACCCTAGCTATAACCTCCCAACATCCCACCATCGTCCAGCCACCCCACCATCCAGCCGCCGCCGCACGTCATCCAACCGCAGCCGCACGCCATCCAGCCGCCGCCAGCCGCGCGCTGCCGCACATCGTCTAGCATCCGTCAGCCGCTCAGTGCCACTGCGTTCCACAGAACTCCGACGTAGCTTGATGGTCCAGTTCTCTGCCCGACCAGGGTCCGAAGGTGTCGTCGTCTAGCCGCCGCTCCTCGCCGTCGTCCAGCTGCCGCTCCTCCTCGTCGTCCCAGATTTGTGCGCCGCCGTCCCAGATCTGTGTGTCGCCGTCCAAGACTTCTGCGGCCCTTCCCCGGCCTGTGCGCCGCCGTCCCAGGCCGTCCGCACCGCCTCCCATCCATCTGCGCCCCAACCTTCACCCCGTCACATTTTTTTTTTGAATTCTTGATCGAATACCTGCTTTGTAGTTTCAACTTGGCAGTACAATATTGACCTGCAGATCAGATTTGCTATTGCGGCATATAGTTTTTTAGATTAGGTTTTATATTGAATTTAGGGTTTTGGAGCATTAAATATGGGCATTGAACACCATGAGTGAACATTTCAATAAAGTTTTGAGTATGGACGGTGAAAATGTATGGTAATAGGCATATTGTGCATGGCAGTGAATGAATGCATTGAAAAATTTTGTTCTGCATTGATTATGACCGGTATTGCAGTAACACAGAGCAGTGAATTCATCATGAAATGCAATATACTTAATTAGACGTAAAATAATAAAATTATTAAATCTAAAAAAAACAAAAAAAAAGAACAAAAATAAATTCATCCAGTGAATGAGAAGAGAATTAATTTTGGCGAAAGTGCAGTGATTATAACCGGATGTGCAGTGAAGACGTGCATTAATTCTGTGCATTAACGGCAATATTAAGTGCATTAATTTTAATTGGATGAAATTAGTGCAAAATACACATATTTTAAACAAGGGTATTTTCGTCATTCAACATTTAAATATAAACGAATTTTCTATTTATTTTTGGATTTTTGGTCATATAAAGGTATAAAAACTAGTTAGGTCATAGATTGAGAAACTCATTGAGTTTTAGTCATATCCCGGTAAATTTCCCTTCAAGTTTAGCATGAGAGGGTTGGTTGAATCTCCAGATAGAGGTAAGTAGGATTCCAATTAAGATTATTAAAACTTATACTACGTATATAGCAACATTATACAGATGCACAAAATGTATTGCTCTACTCATATTTTAAGTTTTATTTTGAATTTCTATGCCCTACTGACTATGAGATTATGCACAAAAAGTATGCGATTTGATTAAATAGAAACTTTAGAAAACAAACTTGATCATATGTCATGGTCTGAATTTTAAATAGAAAAATAAAATCGATACAGAGAGGTGCATACTACTATTTTTACTATCAGAATATACAGAGAATCCATCCCGGCCTAAGCAATCAAATAAAAGATGAAAAAAGAACCACTCCAGAAAAAAATAGATAGGTAAAAATGTAGACGAGTTGAGGAGCTAGACGGAAGATCGAAAACCACTTCTGAAATGTTACTGACGATTTGATTTCGAGTACGCCTTCATCTAAATGAGAAATTTATATTAAAAGTGCAAGAAGATATGTGCAACTGACAGCCATTAATTATAAAAATGCATTTTACAAAATAAGAAAATTACTCCGTATAAAGTAATAGATAAATGAAATGGCAGCGTGGGATTACGAACAATTGTAAATATAAAACTGGCGAATGATAAAACCTATTTCCTTTGAAAAATACTTGGACAATTTTGGTTGAACCTCAAATATACGTACTACTTCGTATATGTTTTCTTCCTATATATACAACTAGATTCTTTATTTACCTGTGCGTTGCACAGGATGCATATGTTATATGTTTAACCATGTCATTAGATGACAGTGAAAATCTAATGAATAGTTTAAGTAACTCGGATTTACATATGTTAAAAATTTGGAATGAATTTTTCAGAGCACAAAGTTGGATAAAATCGGAATCACTTCGTAATAATAAAAATACTTTTTATTAGATATATAAATATTTTGTTACGTATTTGTGTTTATAAAATATACTACTTCTGTCCCACTAACATTGGGACACGAAGAGGTGACACGATTATTAAGAA